GGATGAAAACGCTAACAAACCAATATCAAAACCAGAGGCACAACTATCGCGCAATTGGGACATCAAATGTTTTAGGTGTTTGGGAACGGGGCATATTGCTTCTCACTGCCCAAACAAAATGCGCAATGGTGTTGCGGGATAATGGGGAGATAGTGATGGCGAGTTTGATGATATGCCGGCGTTGGAAGATGATAGTGAAGAAGAAAAAGTTGAAGGGCCAGTTGGAGATTTACTAGTCACGAGACGAGCTCTTACTACTCACATCAAAGCAGATGACTTGGAGTTGCAACGGAAGAACATTTTTCACACTCGATGCCACATCAACAATATGATATGTAGTGTTATAATTGATGGTGGTAGTTACACTAATGTAGCTAGCGTAACTCTTGTAGAAAAGTTGGGTTTAACATTATTGAGACACCCGAGACCTTATAAATTGCAATGGTTGAATGTGTGGCAAGGTGAGGGTGAATCAAAGAGTGTTAATTAATTTGTCAATTAGGAGCTATAAGGATGGGTTAGTGTGTGATATGGTGCCAAAGCAAGCGGGACATATTTTATTGGGTCGACCATGGCAATACGATCGGAAGGCTATGCATGATGGGTACAAAAATCGATATAGTTTCATTAAGGAGGGAAGGACCATTACTTTTGTGCCATTAACACCGGCGTAAGTCTATGAGGACCAATTAAAATTGAGAAGTAAGGAAGAGAGGACAGCCAAGGAGTCAGAAAAAAATGAGAGAAAGTGGTGAGTTAGAGAAAAAGAGAGAAAATGTTGAGATAGCCACTAGAGAGAAAAGAAAAGAGAGTATTTCGAGAGAAGAGAGAAAACACGAACAAATTTCTTTGCAAAAGAGAGTGATTTGAGGAGGGCGGTAGTTGAGAGAAAAGAGATGATCTTGTTCGTGTATAAGGAATCACTCATTAATTTCGAGGAAACTAACCCACCCCTCCCTAGTTTGGCTAAGTCTTTGTTGCAGGAATCTGACGATGTATTTTCGGAGGATACACTAAGTGGATTGCCGCCTATTCTAGGTATTGAACATCAAATTGACTTCATACTCGAAGCTATCATTCCAAATCGACTGACTTATCGAAGTAATCCTGAGGAGACTAAGGAGCTTCAAAGGCAAGTGGAGGAGTTAATGGGCAAATGATACGTGAAGGAAAGTATGAGTCCTTGTGCGGTACCAATTTTGGTCGTGCCAAAAAAGGATGGAACATGGCGAATGTGCATAGATTGTAGGGCTATCAACAATATAACGATAAAGTATCGTCACCCTATACCTAGGTTAGATGACATGCTTGATAAATTACATATTGCTTGCATATTTTCTAAAATTGATTTAAAAAGCGGGTATCATCAAATTCGTATACAAGAGGGTGATGAATGGAAAACGGCTTTTAAAACTAAATATGATTTATATGAATGGTTGGTTATGCCGTTTGGACTCACAAATGCACCTAGTACTTTTATGCGCTTAATGAATCATGTTTTACGTGCATTTAAAGGAAAATTTATTGTAGTTTGTTTTGATGACATCTTAATCTATAGCAAAAACCTATGAGAGCATTTGGAACATTTAAAATGTGTGCTAATTGTTTTAAGGAAAGAACAACTTTATGCTAATCTTAAGAAATGCACATTTTGTATAGATAGAATTATATTTCTTGAATTTGTGGTTAGTGCTAATGGGGTAGAAGTAGACAATGAAAAGATAAAAGCTATTAGAGATTGGCCGACACTTAAAAGCATAATGAAAGTTAGGAGTTTTCATGGTTTGGCTAGTTTTTATAGGCGTTTTGTGAAATATTTTAGCACTATCACCGCACCACTCATGGAAGTAGTTAAAAAGAGTGTATGTTTTCATTAGGGTGATGAACAAGAACTTGATTTTAATACTATTAAAGGTAGATTGTGTGAAACACCTGTTTTGGCATTACCTAACTTTGACAAAATATTCGAAATTGAATGTGATGCATCATGAATAGGGATTGGAGCAGTTTTAATGCAGGATCGAAGACCTATTGTATATTTCAGCGAGAAATTGAGTGGAGCTGCTTTAAATTATCATACATATGACAAAGAATTTTATGCACTTGTTTGAGTTTTGGAGACTTGGCAACATTATCTATGGCCGAAGGAGTTCGTAATGCACACGATCATGAGTCACTAAAGCACTTGCGGGGACAGGTAAATTGAACAAGAGGCATGCGCGGTGGATGGAATTCATTGAGACGTTTCCATACATCATTCGCTATAAGCAAGGTAAGAAAAATGTGGTGGCGGATGCGTTGTCGCGAAGGTACGTATTGCTAACTACTCTTGACTCTAAGTTACTTGGGTTTGAACATATTAAAGAATTGTATGAAAAAGATGTTGATTTTTCGGATATTTATTTGTCATGCATTAAAGTGGCGGTTGATAGGCTTTTTAGGCATGAGGGGTATTTATTTCGGAAAAATAGGTTATGTGTTCCTAATTGTTCTATTCTGGAGTTGTTAGTAAGGGAGGCACATAGTGGTGGATTGATGGGACACTTTGGGGTTCAAAAGACTTTAGATGTATTGAAGGAGCATTTTTATTGGCCTAAGATAAAAAGTGATGATGAGCAAATTTGTAGTCGATGTATAGGTTGTAAAAGGGCTAAGTCTAAGGTTTTACCTCAAGGTTTGTACACACCTTTACCTACACCTAGCGAGCATTGGGTTGATATCTCAATGGACTTTATTTTAGGTTTACCTAGGACTAAGAGAGGTCGGGATTCTATTTTTGTGATTGTAGATAGGTTCAGCAAAATGACACATTTTATACCATGTCACAAAACGGACGATACCACGAACATTGTTGACTTATTTTTTAAAGAGATTGTGCGTTTACATGGGGTTCCTAGAAGCATTGTGTCGGATCGAGATGTCAAATTTTTAAGTCACTTTTGGAGAGTTTTGTGGGGTAAGTTAGGCACTAAATTACTATTTTCCACAACTTATCACCTACAAACGGATGGGCAAATTGAGGTAATGAATAGGACTATGACACAATTGTTGCACACATTAATCAATAAAAATTTGAAAAGTTGGGAGGAGTAACTACCATTTGTTGAATTTGCATACAATCGAGCTGTTCACTCTATTATGTCATATTCTCCATTTGAAATTGTATATGGTTTTAATCCACTAACTCCTTTGGATTTAATTCCTTTACCTGTGAATGAATATGGTAGTTTAGATGGCAAAAAGAAGGCGGAATTGGTTAAGTCACTCCATGAAAAGATAAAAGCGTAAATTGAAAACAAAAGTAAGCTGGTTGCATCGTAGGCAAACAAAGGTAGGAAACACGTGACATTCGAGCTAGGAGATTGGATTTGTGTGCACTTTAGGAAGGAGCGATTTCCGGAGCAAATGAAGTCCAAGTTGCAACGAGGTCCATTTCAAGTTATTGAAAAGATAAACGATAATGCATATAAGTTGGACCTTCTAGGTGAGTATAATGTTTCGGCTACTTTTAATGTATCTGATCTCTCTCTATTTGATGTAGGTTAAGATTTGAGGACGAATCCTTTTGAAGAGGGAGGGGATGATATGACCCAAGAGTCGAGCCCGACGAAGGCAAGTGCGAGACGAGACCCGTTAATAGTCGATGGCGGATCGATGATGAGATCGAAGACGAGACGTATCAACGAGGCGATGGGATTGCTCGTTCATTGACTTAATGCCTCTTAAGCTTGAAATATTTGGTTATTTTCGAGAAATTTAGAATGTTTTGATGCGGGTATTTGTGTTGTTTTATAGGTGAACCAATTTGGTGAAATGGTGAGTTTGAAGGGTGGAAAAGAGTCAAATTTACATAGAAGTTGGACGGCTGAAGAAGTAGAGGCAAAGAGATACACGAACTGAGAGAAGAATCACCGGATTTGGAGAAGGAATCAAGCAACAAACTGAGTTTTTCTTATTTATCTCTTCTCCATGCGATTTAATTTGTATTTTATTGTGTTTTTCTTCTCAATCATGAACTAAACTATTAAATCTGGGGTTTGATGTAACCTATTTGAGACATGATTTAATTTCTTTATAGTCTTTCCATTTAATTTTCCAGAATTGATTTGTATTATTCTTGCTTAATGCTTTCAGTTGCTTGATCACCAATTGAATGAATTGATGCTCTAAATTTAACGCTCGAGAGAGGGAAATTTAGGCGTGATCTAAGAACAATATAACCTAGATTTGTAGGTTTCAAGAGAAAGTGCTAATCTTTGAGGGTAAAACAAGAACCAAGTGCATGATAATCTTATATATTTAATTCAGAATAGAGATATTGGGGTTAAAATATAGAGATGGGTCCTATTTGACGCTTGAGAGGGGAAAATAGAATTAATTTAGAATTCTTGCCTATGAATTCGAGAAATAATTAATGGAAGTATCTATAGGGGTTGAGAATTATGTTGATAATACGGTGAAATCACTCCCTAGACTTTATGAAATTCTGATTTAATCTTTAAAAAATGCCTCACTTTTCTTGCATTATTAATTTCATCGACATTAGTTTAGCATTCAAACATCAATTTAACATCTGATTGTCTAGATAAAGTAAACGCGGATATAATTATAGTACTCAGTAGAAGTCGAATATCAATCCCTGTGAGTTCGACACTTTTCAATTCCTTAAAATACAACAAAACTTGACTTCGTGCGCTTGCAGTATAAAATCACGTTATATGAATCGCGTGGCAAGTTTTAGGCGCTGTTGCCGGGGATTGATTCATTCGAATTCAATTGATATTATTACCAATCGACGTTCATTTTACTTTAGATTTTTATTTCTATCGTAATATTTAATTTAATTTTATTCTTTTTGTGTCTATCTTTAAAAGCTTCTTTGTGGTTATTTTCAGCTGTTTATGTGAAGGGCGAGAAATCTAGATCTACTACCTATTGATCCTGAACCAGAACGCACATTTCACAGTCTAAGAGGCATACAAATAAATGAACGGGAAGTAATGGCAGAACAGGATGCTAGAGCAGCCAATGAGGATAACCAACAAAGGGCTATTCGGGACTATATAAGGCCGGTTGTCAATGACAACTATTTTGGCATCGTACGCCCAGCAATTGGTGCAAACAATTTCGAATTGAAGCCAGGGTTGATACATATGGTGCAGCAAAATTAGTTTGGGGGTGCTGCAATAGAACCCAATTGCTCATCTTGGATCCTTTTTGAAAATTTGTGACATGGTGAAAGATGAATGGGGTGTCTAATTCTCATTCTCTTTAAGGGATAAAGCAAAGGCTTGGTTCCAGTCACTACCGTATGGCTCAATTACAATTTGGGATGATTTGGCTCAGAAATTCCTGACCAAGTACTTTCCACCTTCTAAATCAGCTCAACTTCTCGGTGAAATCAGCCAATTCAAATAACTCGACTTCGAGCCATTCTATGAAGCCTGGGAAAGATTTAAAGACTTGCTTAGGAGATGTCCTCAACATGGGTTCCAGAAATGGGTGCAAATTGAGATATTTTATAATGGGCAGACAAGGACTATGTTAGATGCAGCTGCGGGAGGCATTTTAATGGCTAAAACAGCAGAGGCTGCATATGCTTTATTGGATGACATAGCTACCCATAGTTACCAATGGCCAAGTGAGAGATCGGGTGTAAAGGAAGTACTAGGACTTCATGAAGTGGATCCCATCACCGCACTAGCAACTCAGGTTGCATCACTCACAAATCAGATAGTCACGCTTACCACTCAAAGAAATCAACAGAAGGTAGATTCAGTTATGAGTACTTCTTCATCACACCATGAAACAGAGATTGCAAATGAGCAGGCTCAATATGTCAACAATAGAAACTACAATCAAAGAGGAAACTACCAGGCTAATCACTACCGTCCAGGGCTGAGAAATCATGAAGACTTATCATATGGCAACAATAGAAACACACTTCAACCTCCACCTGGATTCAACACTCAAAATTCTGAAGGAAAACCATCCTTGGAAGACATACTCAGGACATTCATCTCTGAAACAAGGTCACGCCTCAACAAAGATGAATCACGGTTAGATAATATTGAAACCCATGTGTCTAACATGGGAGCCACAATGAAGAATCTTGAAGTGCAGATTGGTTAGTTGGCTACTTCAATGAAATCTCAACAAGAAGGAAAATTTCCAAGTGACACAGAAGTCAACCTAAGGGAGCACTGTAAGGCCGTTGTACTGAGGAGTGGCAAACAAGTTGGAGAAAGTGAACCCGCAGAAGAGAGCAACTCCCCACCTGACAAGGAGGAGGAACAAGTGGTAGTAGAGCAAGAAAAGCAGACCAAAGGAACAAAGACAGCTCACAGACCTTATTCAATATCCTTCCCTTATAACCCACCAATTATCACACCACCACTTCCATTTCCACAGCGTTTTTAAAAGAAAAAGTTTGATGATCAATTTGCTAAATTTTTAGAAATTTTCAAGAAAATTCACATTAACATTCCTTTTGCAGATGCTTTGGAACAAATTCCAAACTACGCAAAGTTTATGAAGGAGGTGATGTCAAAAAAGCGAAAATTGGAGGAATATGAAACAGTGAAATAACAGAGGAATGCAGCGCTATACTTCAGAAGAAACTACCTCAAAAGAGAAAAGATCCGGGCAGTTTCACTATTCCCTGCACCATTGGAAGCTCCTCTTTTGACAAAGGCCTTTGTGATCTTGGAGCAAGCATCAACCTGATGCCATTATCAATTTTCAAGAAGTTAGGCCTCGGGGAAGTCAAACCAACAACGGTAACTCTACAACTAGCTGATAGGTCCCTCACCTACCCACGAGGGATTATTGAAGACGTGTTGGTAAAGGTCGACAAATTCATCTTCCCAGTTGATTTTGTGGTATTGGATATGGAAGAAGATCAGGAAATCCCACTGATTTTTGGCAGGCCATTTTTAGCAACTGGAAGGGCATTAATTGATGTACAAGGAGGACATTTGACATTGAGAGTGAATGAAGAAGAGGTGAGGTTCAACATTTACCAAGCAATGAAGTACTCAGATGATAATGACACTTGCCACAGGATTGACTTCATTGATTCTGCTGTGAGAGATGGGAAATTACACTCATTATATTATGCCATTAATTTCATAATTTTGCTATCTTGGAGAGTATTTTAGAAGTGCTAACAAGTAATTTCGGTGTTATTTTGTAGATTGATGGAAGTGGAGAAAACAAGAGCTAAAAGAGGTCAAAGGAAGGAAATAGGTAAAAGCTAGCGAAATTGGATGAAATGACCAAAACGTAAGAATCCAAAGTTCGAGGATTAAAATGCAATTAATCAAAAGTCATGTCGAAACTTGAAATGAAGATCCGAGAGTTCTAGAAGCCAATTGGATGAGGGAAGATGTCAAAGGGATCAAATTTAGTCAAGCTATGATCATAAATCATTTTCTAACCAAAAAGTTTTGCGCCGGAGTTTTGGTCTCACATTTAGACTCATTTTTGACATAGAAAACGATCGAATTGGAGAATTATTCCTGAAAAAAAATTGTAGTCCTTTGAATTAGCTTTCCAACGCATCTTGAATCACTTCAATTTGACATCGAATGAGAAAGTTATGCTGAAAATACTGAAGGATGCGCAGAATGCCATTTCGGGCGTACCAGGCGCCGCGGCGCCCATCTTGCTGAAACAAGCAGAAAGTCAGCGCCCAGGCGCCGCATTTCAAAACAAAAGGAAATTCTGATTTTATAATATTTTCTCGGCCCAATTAGTAACCTGTTGTTCCCTAAATTCCAAGACACTATAAATACACAATTGAAGACCTAAATTAGGGGGGAGCCGCACGCTAAAAATATGTGGGATCAAGCCACACGTACTTGACGTATTGGAGAGAAGACAACAAGAAGGGAGATTGAAAAGAGAAATTCAAGAAGATTAACACCAAACAATTGAAGATTAGAAGCATTCATTGGAAGGGGAAGGAGATCTTGGTGAAAGAATACTTTTTCTTCTACATCTTTATTACAAATCCGGTGATGTATTCTAAGACAATTTCCTATTTTTCTTCCATTATTATGAGTAGTTAAATTTGATTTTAAGGCGAACAATGTAATCTTTTGGAATTCTTTATTTCATGCAATTGAGATTCTAGTGCTTTTATATTTTATGTGTTGATTTTAATGTTGTTCTTAATACATTTAATTACTTGATCACTAATTAGATGATTTGTGAACAATGATTGCGTAGAGATGCGGATTATTTGTTTAGACCACATGTTAAAATCCGGTAAATTGATATAACGTATAGAGATACTTATATTGATTGCTGCGGTCGTGTGTGAATTCTTAGAACCAATATTTCGTTTAATTAAATTTAATTTGCACAGAGATATGAAATTAAACTAATTAAATAGGCTCAATGAGAACTCGAGAGGGGTAAGTTGAATACAATAGAAGAATTCGACCGAACACTACCTTAGGTTTTATGAATCTTGATTTATGAAATAAAGGTGACCAATAGGTGAAATTGTTCCGACCTAACGTACATTTATTGTTAGAATTTTAAATCACTTTTCGTTGCATCCAATTGCATTTTTAAGTATTTAGAATAAAAATCACATTTAATCATTGCTTTTGTTTATTTTCATCAAATAGAAGTTAGAAATAATAAATTGGGCATTAAAAGTACAGTCCTCGTGTAAACGATAATCCGGATTCAAAAGGTCCACTTTACTACTTGTTACAATCCGTTCACTTGCGGGATAAAATCGACAATAGCAGTGTATGATGTTTAGTGCAACAAAGGATGACATTAGCACTTTTGGAGAGTACATAGGGAGCAAGGATTTGGTTGATTACATATTGGCTTTTGAGTCTACATCATTTGTGGAAAACCCATCACAATGTGAGGATATTCAGCAATCAGAGGAATCAGATGACAAAGAAAGCAATGAAAGTAGTAAGATTGATCTTAAGCAATTACTAGATCACCTTCGCTATGCATTTTTGGGTGACAATTCTGCATTTCCAGTGATTATTTCTTCATCACTCACCAGAGACGAAGATGATAGATTATTGAAAATGTTGAGGGATCATAAGGCCGCTTTGGGATGGTCGATAGCTGACATCAAGGGGATAAGTCCTACAATCTGCATGCATAAAATCCTCATGGAAGAATCTTACAAGCCATCCATCGAACATCAAAGAAGGTTAAACCCAGCAATGAAAGAAGTGGTTCGAGTGGAGATTCTAAAGCTATTGAAGGTAGGAATCATTTTTGCCATTTCAGACAGTGAATAGGTCAGCCCAGTGCAAGTGGTACCAAAGAAAGGAGGGATGACGGTAGTTAAGAACGACAAAAATTAGCTAATTCCAACAAGAACAGTAACTGGCTGGAGGGTGTGCATTGATTACAGGAAACTGAATAAGATAACTAGAAAGGACCATTTCCCACTCTTGTTCATAGATAAAATGTTGGATAGATTAGCTGGCTACTCTTACTATTATTTTCTTGATGGATATTCGAGCTACAACCAGATTGCTATAGCACCAGAAGATCAGGAAAAGACAACCTTCACCTGTCCCTATGGAACTTTTACCTACAGACGGATGCCATTTGGGTTATGCAATGGACCGGCACTTTTCAGAGATTCATGATGACAATCTTTGCAGACGTGGTTGAAGACATCATGAAGGTATTTATGGATGATTTCTTGGTGTTTGGTACTTCTTTTGATAACTGTCTTCACAATCTCTCCTTAGTGCTGCAACGCTGTGAGGAAAGCAATATAGTTATCAATTGGGAAAAGTGTCATTTCATGGTACAAGAAGGTATTGTGCTAGGCCACCATGTTTCGACGAGGGGATTGGAAGTGGACAGAGCAAAAATTGATACAATTGCAAAGCTACCACCACCCACCAATGTCAAAGGCATTCGAAGTTTCTTAAGGCACGCTGGATTCTACAGGAGATTTATCAAAGACTTCTCAAAAGTGGCAAAACCCCTATGTAACCTTTTGGAGAAGGACACAACGTTCGTATTTGATAAAGACTGCTTACAGGCTTTTGAAACCATAAAGGTAAAATTAGTCACTGCCCTAGTAATTGTAGTACCAGATTGGGATCAGCCATTTGAGGTTATGTGTGATGCTAGTGACTACGCAGTAGGAGCAGTTTTGGGATAAAAGTGTGATAAGATTTTTCGGGCAATCCACTATGCCAGCAAAACTCTTAATGGAGCTAAACTAAATTACACAACAACAGAGAAGGAAATGCTAGAAAGTGATAATTTACACGGACCATGCTGCAATCCGTTATCTCTTTCAAAAGAAAGATGCCAAGCCATGCCTAATTCGATGGATACTACTACTATAGGAATTTGATGTAGAGATTCGGGATAAGAAAGGCAGTGAGATGTCGTTGCAGACCATCTCTCACACGACATTCTCATGATTGGAGAATGAAAAGGTGGTGGATGATAGTCAAATTCGAGAAACGTTCCCCAACGAGATCTTGCTAGTTGTATCAACAAAGATCCCATGGTATGTTGATTTTGTTAACTATTTAGTGTCTGAAAGATTGCCACATTTAGTGTCTGAAAGATTGCCACCTAACTTGACCTTTCATCAAAAGAAGAAATTCCTACACGATGTCAAGTCTTATCTGTGGGACGATCCAATCTTGTTCAAAAGGTGTGCTGATAGAATAATCAAGCAGTGTGTCCCTGTGGAAGAAACACGATCAATCATGCAGCATTACCTTTCCTCACCTTACGGAGGTCATTTCGGGCCTACACATACTGCTGCAAAGTTGTTGCAATCTAGTTTCTATTGGCCAAATCTGTTCAAAGACTGCTATGCTTTTGTGAAGACATGTGACTGCTGTCAGCGCACTGGAAATTTTTCAAGACATCATGAGCTACCATTAACTAGTATGCTTGAGATGGAATTATTTGATGTGTGGGGTGTTGATTTCATGGGTCCGTTTCCACCTTCCTTTGGTCAAGATTATATTCTTCTCGCAGTAGATTATGTGTCTAAGTGGGTTGAAGCCATTGCCACACCAACAAATGATGCAAAGGTGGTGTTGAAATTTTTACAGAAAAATATCTTCACTCGATTTGGCACGCCTAGGGCAATCGTAAGCAGCGGAGTTACACATTTCTGTAACAAGTTGTTCAATTCTCTTCTAGCTAAGTATGATGTCAAGCACAAGTTGGCACTGTGTTATCATCCACAATCAAATAGGCAAGCAGAGGTATCTAACAGAGAGATTAAACAGATTTTGGAAAAGACAGCGAATACCAATCGGAAGGACTGGTCTCTCAAACTAGATGACGCTCTTTGGGCATACCGAACTACATTTAAAAAACCAATTGGAATGTTACCCTATCGTCTGGTATTTGGGAAAGCTTGTCATCTACCGGTAGAATTGGAGCATCGAGCTTATTGGGCTGTGAAGAAATTGAATTTAGACATGAAATTGACCGGTCTACAACGCTTATTGTAGCTTAATGAATTGGAGGAATTTCGGAACGATGCATATGAAAATGCAAAAATATATAAGAACGAACAAAGATGTGGCATGACAAGAGAATATCAAGGATGGATTTCAAGGTAGGAGAACCGATTCTTCCATTCAATTCTCGCTTGAAAGTCTTTCCAGGCAAGCTAAAATCCCAGTGGTCAGGACCATTTGTAATTCGTAAGGTGTTTCCTTATGGTGCAGTGGAATTAGTAAGCATGGGTCTACCTTTCAGGCAAATGGACAACACCTCAAACAATACTATGGAGAGGAAAACTGGGATGTGGAAGAAATTACCCTTGATGAACCAACTTGAAACCACATCCACGTCCAGCTAAAGACGTAAAAGAAGCGCTTCTTGGGAGGCAACCCAAGCTCTATCCTTAAGTTTTCATAAAATTTATTTATTTCGGTTTTCATTATTTTACCCACTCTAGTGATTTCATTTTTGTCTTATTTTTATAGGTACATGCTCAAATTGGAAGCATCGAACCAAAAAGGAAATGGGGAAGGACCACATTGAAAGACTACATGGAAGGTATTATTAAAAAAAAAAATTCAAAAACTCAGTGCCCAGGCGCTGGACTCCCCAACTGGAGCAGAAAGTCAGCGCCTAGGCGCTAATTTAAAAAAAATAAATTTTATTTTATATAAAAACCTACATTTCTCCCCTAATTATATTATTTTTCCCTTCCCCTTTTTCCTCCTTCTCCCGTAAGTTTTGCTCCCCTCTTTCCTTTCCCCATTTAAATTTTCTTTTGTAACACAATCAATACACTTTTCTTGCATTTCATACTCTACGATTAGTAAAGGGGCCACTTGCTTGATCTTTGGGATCACCATCTTTCCACTTGTAAGTCCTCTTACCTTCATTTTTTTTTATTTGCAGTTCAACTTCGTTTTTTTATGGTAATGGGTGATTGATTGGGTATATTTGGATTCTTGGATGTTGGAGTTGTGTTGATTGAGTTTCTGATGGGATTAATTTATTGCTGGGATAGTATGCAAAGTGTGATGGAATAGCCTTGCTCCCAAGGTATTTGATTAAATTCCTAGGAGAGTTTTTCTAGTTGTGGTAACCTCAAGTTAATTGCTGACTTTTGCACTTTGCTCAGGTTTTTTATAATTCAGTATGCCTCCAAAGAGGGCTCGCAACACTTCCTCTGCTTCTTTTGACAGAACCAAATTTATCAGTGAAGCAACTGCGGAATGGTACAACACTTTGGTGGTGCACAAGAACTGTATTCAGGAGAGGGGTTTTGACAAATATATGACTACACAGATCCAACGGAGGGGATGGCAAATATTTGCTCAACAGCCGCAGCCAGCCCTTACTCCTGTTGTTCGAGAGTTCTATGCTAACGCAAAGGAACACAGAAAATTTCGAGCATTTGTGAGGGGCAAATGGATTGCTTTTGACAGAACCTCCATCAATCAATTTTACAATCTTCCAGATGTGGATAACAATGAATACTCTACGTTACGTGAAGAAGGAGTATATCCTAGTGAACTATTACGAGTTTTAGCTCATCCTGGCAATACTTGGAAATGGGCTGGCGACAACGTGATACATTTTCCTACCACTGGGATAATTGTTGAACATAAAGCGTGGCATCATTTCATCTCAGCCGAATTCCTTCCGAGTAGCAACCTTAGTGAAGTCACGAAGGAGCGTGCGATCCTTAACTATGCTATTCAGTGTGGTAAGTCCATAGATGTTGGTCAGGTTATTCACAATAGTATTTTGCATACCCTGAAAGGTTCAACAACTGGCGGTCTTGGGCATTCGTGTTTGATTTATGAATTGTCCAGAAAGGGGGGCGTTATAACATTCTCATCGGAAGAGGTGGTGCATCCCAAACCACCCATCACTAGGAGTTGAGCATGGAAATTCATGAGCCGGTAGGGCTCCACCAGTACCACACCCTCGGGAGTGGAGACAAGACCAGCTCAGTCACGTAGACCCCGCTACACGGGATGCAATTGCAAATGGATACCCTGTAGAATGTCATGTACGAGCAGTTCCGTTACCAAAATGAGTTTAATGCAGTTTTAGGATCTATCTACTCGAATAGGACTTTCCCTCAACCATCGCTACTTCCCGATCACAACTCCGACCCGCCTAACCGTGACATTGACAACGACGGAGACACTTGATGTCTTCGCTCAGTTACGTCCTCTTCCTTTCCCTTTTTCTTAACATTGGGGACAATGTTTGGTTCAAGTTTGGGGGGAGCGATTAACTTGTCCAGTTTTTTAATTTTTTATTTTGTGTGAATTGTGTGTGAAATTTTCTTTTTGAATTGTGTGCAATTTTTTTTTAATTTCTAATTTGTGTGTCAAAAAAAAAATTTCATTTCATGTTTTTGCATGCTTGTGTGAGTTAGATAACCCTGTCGGCGATGATATATATTATTAAGAACATGCGTTGATTCTTGGATTATGGATGAATTATGTGTTTAAGTTAAATTTTTGCTTAATCATGTGAAACGGAAATTAATTTTGCACATGAGTTGATTGTGGCGTTGTGCATGAGTAGGTTGATTCATGTTTATAGGTTAGATTAGAAAACTTAGTTGCAAAACCCAAATAACCATTAAATGTCACAGTACCCTTAAACCAAATATAGGTTGTTTGGTAGATTAAGTTGATGTAGGGAAACTTGGAGATAAATGTGGACTCCGTGCATGCTAAATTTTGTGTGGATTGTTTGAGACTGATATGATGAAAATTGGGTGAAAACCTTAAGTTAGAGGTCGATTTTCGAGAATAGGTGTTTAATAAGGGGCATTGCACTAATCACTGCATCGATTTAAAAAAAAAAAAAAAAAAGATCCCAATGAGGACAGCTTTAATAATCTCGTTGTGAAGCGTTTTTTTCGTAGCCTTTATTACTCGAGTGATTAAGCCTGTAAGGGTTTAAAATCTGGTACCCTAAAGTCGTCTGATTTGGGAGTCATCGGTCTAAAACTCGTTACAGGGGTCATTTAAAAAGTTTAAGGGAGAGACGTTAGCACAAGGGCTAATTAAGGAATAAAATTTATATATATATAAAAAAAATGTGGAAATCAAATGCCTTGATTAAGCCCCGAATGCTTGTTTTAGAGGATTGGACTTTTGATAAGGGGTTGGTA